GCGTCCCGGTCCAGAAAAGGCCGCAACTGGTGAATCAGGCGAACCTGATAAAACGCCCCCCTGGTCACGGCCGACAGATGGTCATCCAAAGTCAGCCGTGAATCCAGGAGGACTCCCAAGTTGCGCGCCCTCTCTGAGGGGGCCAAGGTTTCGCCCCCTATAGTCAGCGATGGCGTCAGCTGACTATGCCGAGACGCCATATAAATAAAGGCTCTCTCACCCCTAGAAAGCAAGCAACGGAAAGTCACTTCTGAAAAACCTGCAAAGAAGACTTCAGAGATGTGTCCAGGTAGTCACCAGGAATCAATTGTTGTAATTCCTCAGTCAGTCGACCCGGCAACTGAATCAAAGGAATCAGGAGGAGGAGGAGGAGGGGCCTGGAGGGACATCAGAGTCAGAGGAAGGCTCTGATGAGCTCCAAGACTTACAGTCTGACGAGGAGCCTGGCCCCTCTACTGGCGCTCAGACTGAGACACAGCTGTGCTAGGATTCTGAGTTGGACAGTGAGGACTCACAGCTGGAAGATATCCAGGATGCATGTAAACGCCGGCAAGCAAAGAGAGAGTCGGACAGAGGAATGCAATGGGGTGGCTCCAAAGGCAAAGGAGAAAGCATTAGGAAGCCACGCCTTGGCTTTATAATAAAAGGGAAGGTGTGGGAGATGCCGGTTGCTGAAGGCAACCATTTGTGTTAAGGAATCAAGTTTCAGTGAACTGTGTTTTGTTTGTCTTGGACATTTACTCAGGTCTGTAAATAATAAAAGAGGATTGGGTTTTTTCCTGCGGTTCCAGCCTGCTTGTTGGAAGAGGGGTTTCTCCTTGTGAGCTTAACAAGGACTCACATAGGCTGGGACAGAACATCAACATTAACTTGGAAGACACTAAAGCTAAGGCATGATGGCTGAAAAGCTGCTTACCTTCACCATCCGAGCAAAATATTCACCACCAAGATAGTTTTCTGTTTTCAAGTACAAGTCCCTCAACTCACTTGCACCAACTGGGTTATATTTGGAGTTAAATTTATCAAACCGGTGAAATGTCTGGCGATCCTAAGAAAAGCAGAGGTTAAAAAGTAGATTTGTTATATTGTTACATTTACAGTATATTATTTATCGCTGGATATTACTTTTAGTAACTCACATATTCATAATATAAAATATAAAATATGAACATACAAAAAGGTAACTTTTGAATTCAGACTGTTAACAGCTAGCACAGTAAATGCACAAAAAGCATATGAGTTTGTCAACCAAAAGTCTCTTTCTCTTTCCATGGCTGGGCAATTTACGAAACCTTGCTAATTATTCTGATGTGATCTTTACTTAAAATGGAACTTACTGCATGGACATCTAGTGAGTCTACAGTGAAGTCATAGGGATCCATGTGTAGGCTTTCAAACACCTGCTTCAAAGTCAGCTTCTTGTCTTTTCTTTCTCCAACTATCCTGTTGGGTTCAGTCTGATAAGTGTGCTTAATGAACCTCAGCAGATGTTTCTGATTCATGCAAGCAGCAGCATGGATATGGGTATCAACCTGAAAAAAATGAAAAAGTAGCAATTTACCTCAGCTGAAGCTATTATATTACTATCTCTATGACACAAATTTAAGTTAAAAGACTTAACTTAAAAGACATTACATTGAGGTAATAATTGAGCCTCAGATTTCCATTGCTAAGCAAGGTAGTTGTTAAGTGAGTTTTGTCCCATTTTACAACCTTTCTTGCCACAGTTGTTCAATGAATCACTGCAGTTGTTAAGTTAGTAACATGACTGTAAAGTGAGTCTGGCTTCCCCACTGACTTTGCTTGTCCAAGGGTCACAAAAGATGATCACATGACCCCATAATCTATCCCAAGTCTCGTAAATATGAGTCAGGGTCTGAATTTTGATCACGTGACCATGGGGAAATGCTGTAACGGTTGTAAGAGTAAAAAATGGTCTTAAGTCACTTTTTTTAGTGCTTTTGTAACTTCAAACAGTCATTAACTGAACGGTTATAAGTCGAGGATTACCTGTAATTTATCTGTTAATGTGCCATTGTTAATATAACACTACAAAACACATTTTCACAGATATCAGACAGCAGTTTAAGGTAAGAGAGGTAATCTTGAAATCACCCAAAACCACTCTAATCAAACTGAACTATGTCACAAACAAATCCACTTTGAGTGTTGGTGAAGGATCGCAGATTTCTTTTGTTTAGCTCTTAGGACAGGGGTGTCAAACTGCCAGCCCACAGGCCAGTTGCACCATGCGGAGGCCACACCCACCCCACCTCCAGCAATGCGAAAAAAGTCGCGATACGTCGCGACATATCACGGAATGCGGCGAGTTTGACACCCGTGCCTTAGGACAAGAAAGTTGCTAATCTAAAATGGAGGACTGGAAAGCATTTCCAAAAGGTATAGACAATTCTGCCTTTGAACAGAACATTTATAGCGTTAGAGTCCTACTTATTGTTTGGACACAAATGGGAACTTCACAGCCTTGTGAATGACACACATTACTGTTGGTAGAATCCTGTCTTTTATCCTAATCTTTGGCCATCAACAGAAGAGACTGGGCCCTTTCCACTTCACCTATCCCTTTGTAGCCCTGAAGGCCCAAAGCAGCAGCCACAGCAGCAAAAGGGAATTATTGAAAACTAGAGATCAGATGACGATTAGAGGGTGCAGTGGCTAGGGGGGGTGAAAGACAATGAGCTTGTCAGCTGGAAAACTGATACCCCAGGTTTGAGACCTGAGTGCAGCACGACAAAGTGAATTCCTGTTAGTTGCCCCAGCGTCTGCCCCCCCTAGCAGTTCTAAAGCATATAAATGCAAATAGATACCACTTCAGTGGGAAGGTAACAACATTCCGTGTGCAGTTTATAGTCATGCTGGACACATGCCCATGTTTTCAGACAATGCTGGCTTCCTCAGCTAAGAAACGGAAATGAGCACCACCCCCTAGAATAGGAAATAACTGGAGAAGGAAAACCTTTACTTTTAGATGATGGTTGATGACCAGATATACATTTACTTTTAAACCATTTTCTATATATATTTATTTATATAGAGTTGCATTTGACTACCTATACATTTTTGTTCAATGGTTTTTCTCATGACACGTATATATGTTTTCCCTTTCCCTACCAATTTTAATTTATTCCCTTATTTTCAGCATATCTGAACCACAGCCATCAGTGTTAGCCAAGTCATGAAAGAATAGTCCATCTTATTGCTTAACCTGTTAAGCTGCTTAATGATTTTTACTCAAAAATATTTAGTATTTTAAAACATATCCCATGTGTCTTATTTTCTCAGGGATTAACGGCGTTTCCTCCACCTTTTAAAATCTATGTGCGCCAACACTTTTATGTTACTGTCACAGAGAAAAATATGGATCTGTAATCTTTCTGTAGGATTTGAGGTTTGAGTGCAAGCTAGAAAAAAAAGGACTGAAATGGAAAAGAGTTCTTATGTCTGCAGAGTCCAAATTGTTATCAGATCCTTCTCTAAAGCAAATTGCAATTCTGATTATTTGGAGAAATGAGGGGAAATGTCTTTTTTTAGCTCAAACAATAGGACACATTTTACCTCAGCTCACAAACATTATTATTAAGAGTTCAAGGTAATATGATATACTGTAGTAAAATCCCTATCAAGGGAGATCAGCCCGGATAAGCTCTTTGCTGAATAGATGAAATTGAACAATCCTTATTGATTTCATTTCAGTTGCAAAAATAATTCAGTCTCTGCAATGATAAAAAAAAAATCCTTCAACTTCACTCCATCCTCCATGCTTTTTCTGTGGTCTTTAATCATAACTACTGAAGCTTAAGCAAGGGGTATTTATTTAAGGGGCTGTCTATTTTATTTTCTTTAATCATTATGAATCAAAACAATGCTTCAATTCAGCAAAATTAGAATCTTCAATATGGCACTTTTATACTTTGAGGACCATTATTTAATGAATATGGCAAGAGATACCAAAATAAGTACTAAATGAATTACGGTTGACAATATATGCCCAACCAACCATTTAAAAATTATGTAAGAAGCAGGCAGAAGATTCTGATTAATTCAAACAAGGAAAAAACATACAATATGGGAATTAATTTCCACAGATACATATTATATTTACATCATGCAAACTCATGTCTTGATACTCTACCTAAATGCTGACTCTATTACAAATACTGTACCAAAACTGTGTTGATTGTTCCATTGACAACTCAACTCTGTCAAAGCTTCTAAAGCCAGCAACTCCAAATATCAAATGTGGATTACATTATAGTTTTAATCACAAGCCATTCTAGAAAGGAAATAGAAATGGCATTTGAAAATATGTGCTTGTAAACTATGCCTTTAATGTCTGCAAGCAAAATGACAAAACTACATTTAGTAAGTCACATTTTGGAAATACAAGTAGATTTTTGTGTCTATTATACACTTCATTACCTCTTCAAAAAACTGCTATTGAAGAAGATACTTATTTTGCATTATAAATCAGGTCCCAAGATAGAAAACAGCAGCAATGAATTATCCCTTAAAAGTAACAATAGCAATAGCACTTAGACCAGGGGTGTCAAACTCAATTTCATTGAGGGCCACATCAGCATCGCGGTTGTCCTCGGGGGCCGGGTAGGTGTGGCCAGGGTGGGCATGGCCTACTGGGTGGGCGTGGCTGGAGTGGGCATGGCCTGCTGGGTGGGCGTGGCCAGCTCTGCATCATTTGCGACAAGGGTGCCTGTGGAGGCCTGGGCAGGAGTGGGACAGATCTGAGGGTCTCTGGCAGAAGGGGGTGGGACCAGGGCAAGCGCCAAGGCATAATCCAATGGAAGAGCCTGCTGAAACCCCTCCCCCGGAGCCCATCAAGCTGGATATGTGAAGTAGGAGAGGGCCATTTGCTGGCCACCTCCGGGCAATGTGCATTTCTTCATTCCTCACAAAGCGTGACACCTCCCCAGCATGCACCCAGGGGGTGGGGCCAACGCAGCAGGGGCCAGTCCCTCGCTGTTTCCAGACGGCCTTGTGGAGCTAAGACTGAATGCGTTTCAGCATAGATGGCCACCACAAAATTGTACATTGGCTCCCGGCTGGCCTGGGCTAGGGCCAAGGCAGTGGGGGCCGTTCCCTCACTGTTTCCAGGATGGTTTTGCTGGTCACATGAAACCACGTCATGGGCTGCATCCGGCCCCCAGGCCTTGTGTTTGACATGTCTGACTTAGACTTATATACTGCTTCACAGTGCTTTACAATCTCTCTAAGTGGTTTACAAGAGTCAGCATATTGCTCCCAACAATCTGGGTACTCATTTTAACAATCTTGGAAGGATGGAAGGCTGAGTCAACCTTGAGATGGTCAGGATGCTCTGTTTTGACCAAAGGTATGTCAAGGCATCTTACAATATAGCAAGGGGTTAAAAATAGGAAAATAAAACATATAAATTTAATAACTAACTTAATTCAATTAATTAAACACAACATCATTGTCCCCTTTTATTTTCCCTTTGGTTACATTAAAAATATGGGTTGGTAGAAATTTTCACAAAAGCTGTGGAAGGTTTGAGGAGGCTGTACATATTATTCAGAAACAGTGATTGGACTGGGTGAATAAGAGCCACAGATAGTGCTGATGCCATTCACATGATCATCCATTTATGACTGCATGGGTAAATGAACCATTCAGATGAAGCAAAAGAGAAGTTTTATGGCAACTGGCAGCCAACACAAGTTCTATAATCAAAATATAAAAGTGTGTGAACCACTCCATAATTGCATGTAGTGATAGATTACACCGATGCATGTATGAACATTACAATCAATTACAAACAAAGGCTACATGTATATGAATGTATCTTCTATTGAGTCATCCAACAATGACCCATTGAGCATATCTATTTATGAAGATTCTAGCCATTACTATTCTTCTGTGTGCAAAATATCATTTGATAGGGAAGTAAATATTATAGATTTTTTTCTCTTTATAATTTTTCTCATGGATATGGAGGTACCCCAATCTACTATCACAAAATTGGGAGATCACAGGGAATCCTTAGGATAGAAGCACTCACGGAATCTGACTTCTACCATCTTTAAGGCTTCAAAAGATAAAATGCTCTTAGATGGGCAACACTGAAGTCTTCTTCTTTATTTCTTTCTTTCTTTCTTATTATTCTTTACTCTTTATTTATTTATTTATTTATTTATATATCCGTTTCATACTTGTGGTATAAATACCATTTTAATTTGTTAAAGTTTTTTTAAAAGTGTGAGAAAAATCCCTCAGTTATATTCTCCTCATAAGGTTTCCTTTTCTAAATAAACAGCAAAATCTTTACGTACTTCCTATGAATTCCCATGATGTTAGCACACAGACAAAATGTTTTGTGTTCTTCATTTACAATGCACAATTTATTTATGTATTTATTTTACTTATAGGCTGCCTGACTGCATTATCACTCTGACAGCATACAGAGGAAAAATGATATAAAATACTAACATATAGAGACACTAAAAAAAGGAAAGATATCTGGAAAAATAACAGAATA